TTTTACTTTCCTGGATAAAATATCCACCCACCCACCTGCATAAATAAGCTGTAATGGCTTACATTTCTTATGCTTCAACTTCAAGTCTCATTTCTCGGATATTTAAGACAACTTCAGCTTCTTACCTGATTAGATGGAAGCCAAAAGTTTTCCCCCCTCTTGGGGACAATTCTGCTGAGCTAGAATCATCTGAGGCAACTTTAACTTTAGGTATGTTATATGACATCTTTCAAAGTATAATCAGGCTGTGTGGTTTGAGATCTGGCTGTTCGATTAAAGGTATGTGTCACCAAAGGGCTGTACTTTTAAAAATATTGAGACATAAACAAACTTGATTAGACAGGGAAGGAAAATTCTACAAGTTGAGTACCCTACATCCCAACCAGAGAATTCTTTTTCTCTTTTCCTGGTTCACTAGAAGCACACTTGCCCAGACTATTCATATTTTCAAAATATGTTTGTTGCTCTCAGGGCTTCTGAAATACATACCCTCCAGCTATTCGTTTTGGACTTACAAAATGTAATTTTTTGCACACCTTTGCTTCAGGTGTTTTTTTATTTGGGGAGAGGAGGAGGAGTTTGTAAAAAAAAAAAATAAGCAATAAATCATTTTACCTTCTCCATCAAATAATTCCACTGATAATATCCTTTTTATATAACTTATATGCAATCTATTTGATTGCATATTTACAGACTCTCAAAACATCTCCCCAAAACATATTAATCACAAAGACAAGTAGTAAATTGACAGTGGGGACATCTCATAGAAGAGGTAAACCAAGACACTAAAGTATTACCAATAAGACAAATTAACTGAGGACACAGTAGCACTTCTGCAAGACTGTAGAATAAATGTATCACTGTTCAATTTCTGATTTGGGTTATTTGTGCTGTGGTTACATAAGAGAATGCCCTTTTTCTTAGGAAGTAAACACTATATAGAGATAAAGGGGAACATAGTCTTCAACTTATTCTTACACACTTCAGGAAAAACAATTAGAATATATGGAAAGAGTAAATGCCAAAGTCTAGGATGCCTAATATTAAGAACTGGTGAATCTAGGTGACGCATATACAAAGAGTTCTTCATACTGGTCTAGCAAATTTTCTACAGGTTTGAAATTATGTCTACAAGTTTATTATACAAAGATATTATGAACAATATATAAACACACAACTCAAAATAAATGTATAGCCCAGTGCATCAACCTAAATCCAGCCTATTTTCTTTAAGTATTTTTCACTAAGACACCATCAGAGACAGGGTCTGTAGATTCATTAATCTATCTTTCTAGTAACTTATTTTTTCACTTGAATAAACATTTGAGGCTTCCTTCAACCTAAATGCAGTTTTTTTTAAAAACTCAAAGAACAAATTCCATGTCCCCAAGTGAGGTTCAAGGCTGTTAATGTTCTCCTGCACTACCTAGCAATCAGGGATACTTTCTGGAAAACTAGAGAACTTTTGTGGATGTAAACTTTCTCTAATATGCCTACTTCCTTGTTTTCTTTAAAAAATCCAATTTACATCTCTAGGATTCCAAATATACAAGCTCTTGTTTCTGTCACATGAAATGAACTGTTATTCTTTAGCTTCTTGTAAAAAAAAATTCAATAAATCTTTGCTCACTGCCAGCTTTTCTCTCTCTTTCAATAGCTCTTTGATCAAGATTTTCCATCCACTCTGGAATAATCCAGAGGTAATTAGAACTTCTTACCTGCTTTAGCCCAAAAGGAGCCAATTTATCACAAACTGTCAGGGATTCCAATTTTAAATTACCAAGAGCCCAATTACCAACAGAGGCAAGGAATCTTCTTTCTAATTAAAGTGATTGATTTCTTAGCAGACTCAGTAGTAAGTATTTCACTTTTTAATTATGTTCATTCCAATCAAATGTAAGAAAATTCTCATTTTATTTTCCTTCCAAAGAACATAATACAACAAACATTAATCATGAGTGATCCAAGGCCAGACCCAGCAATGCCTTTGGCAGAACTGGACATCTAATCTATCAGTGGGTCTTGTCCATTTTTATGAGCCTTGGTGGCCGGTGCTTCAGCTCCAAAGAAGGGTAGAGGGATAATTATGTTTTTTTCATATAGTTCACCCAGGAGCACACCAAACCTTCCAGCATCAACTATGTTGTGACAAAATGGCAATGGGTACTTCAATAAACAGTCTAGCAGGGGCATGGGGAGTTACAGACTGAACCCAGTCTCATTTCTTATGCACAGAACTAGGGTACTGAAAACAAAGCAGTGTGTGGAGGTAAACCTCAGAAACAGGGGAACCAATTTGTTTTTTCTCACTGGGGTGGCATTAGAACAATTATGCGTTATAAAGAATTTTGAAAGGGAAAAATACAACTTCAGATTCAGTTCAATGAAATACAATTTAGAGGAATCCAAGGAACACAAGGCAGCCCCTTGCACAGCCTCTGAAGGCCCCAAGGACACATTTGTCTACCTGGCTTTTAATCTTGAATGACAGAGCAGCTGGTTCTCTCCTACGGCCTGCTTACCAGCTGTCTGCATCCTTATCTCCCCTTCCTCCTCTTTCCACATAGTCAGCAGACTGGCATCAGCTCATTCCTTGAGACAAGGGTCGAGTGTTACACTCTGATGACTAATTTCCAGCAATCTGTATTCAAAACTTACCCCTGTGGCCAGACAAGTGGATACCCTTTGTCCATAGGAAGCTACTGACCATTTTCCAAAAGCTTCATATTTAGGTAGTTCTAGGGAACCACTAAGATTTTAAATTTCCACATTCAACCATGGAACCATATTTGACCATTCTGGTAAAAAAAATGAAATTGTATACTAAACCCTTGATATTTTAGGAAAAAAGGTCTGGGGATGGAGCTCAGTGGTAGAGCACTTGCCTAGATGTGTGAGGCCCTAGGTTTTATCCCCAGTACTACAAAAAAGAGAAGGAAAAAAACGAAATTTAAGGAAAAAAAAAATGGATGTGTTTGAGATTATCTCTCTCTCTGCCTTTACTACTCTAGGCTGTGTATGCAACATTCAGGAAGACCTCCCTTAGGACCTTCAATTCATTCAGCAGACAATTATCCAGCAACTCCCAAGGGCAAAGCAGGCTGTCAGGGGCAGGAGAATCTCGACTCCTTCTCCACTGCTTTACAGGGAAGAAGACAAGTGGCCACCTCAGTAGAGTGAAGAACAGAGCTGGAGATGTTCTGATGGGACAGAAGGGTCACCATGGTGAAAACTAAGAAAAAAACACTTTCAGTAAAGACATGAATGAGGTTGAGGCTGCAGACACCTTGAAGGAAGGCTGGCTTACTGAGTGCAGGAACCCCAGGCTTCCACAGTGGCGTCACAGCATGGCAAATGCAAATGCCCCCATTCTAAGAACCATGAACACAGGAGACAAGGGGTCAGGCCAGATGTGATGAAGCTGTGACTGCCAGGCTAAGAGGCCTGGGTTCTTTATGAATGAACAAGGAGAACAAGGGGAAGTCACAGTCCAACTGGCTGTGGTGGGAGAGGACAGGGCAAAGACGAGACTGCTGAAGCAATCACCAGGGTTGACATAACAGAGCTGGCCCTGACAGCAGGGTGGAAAGAAGCACAGACTGAGCAACGCAGCGCTGGCAGAGATAACAGGGATTTGCAGCCGCATGTGAGGAAGGAGGCACAGTGGACGCCGAGCACCACTACTGTAGGTGGACACTTAGTCAGATTCCTTGAACTGGTTGGCTTTTACTAAAAGGTTTACTATGATTATCATTCACATCAAGCACGTGCTTTAAACTCTTAAATATTCCTAGATAAGAAGCAGAATTATTTCATCCCTCCTTTTATAGATGAGAACCAAGCCCAGGAGTCCGAGACCTGACCAGAAAATTCAACTAATAGTGCAGAGACCGAACAAGAAGTCAGTGGAGTGCTCATTACACAATCAAACATGACAGAAAGAGAGCTCAAAACTGTCCCACTGGCATGTTTCTGGGGTAAGGGGGACAGAGTTCTTAGAACTTTACCCAGTGAGCTGAGTCAGAAGGTGGTTTGATGATAATGTCCGTTCTAAAAGCAAACGGAAAGCTTCCACACTGCACTCAATTTTTAAAACACAATTGCACAAGATTCAAGTCCTACACCTTGGATTAAATTACACTATCACATGCTATTTTTAGACTCTAGTTTTCTCATCAAAACATCTTAAAATAGAAACATTTGTCTAAAAGTCTGGTAAAAGAATCATTCACAAGGCTTTATTACATCTCAGGATTTTAATGTTCTTCACATTCAACATAAAATACTGACAACAGATACACAACAGGGGAAAAGACTCCAGCAAAGATTTTCTGGGAGTCACAGTATTGTTCTGGTCACACGATACAAAGAAAACCACCAAGTGTACACAGGATAAGGGAATCTAACAGATTTTCAGTTTAATGGCATAAATGAAAAACAAAACACAACCATTTCTTCCCCCTATTGAAAGGAAGAGTCAAAGCAAATTGTGAAACTTCTAGATTCTTTCCATGGAGCAGGTTCAAAGGGGAAAGGGCTGAAGAGGGGGTACAACTGTTCCTAATACAATGCTGTAGTACACAAGCAGGGATTTAACAAACTCTAAGCTTCTATATATCACTGAGAACCGTTTCATTAGAAATATAAATGCACTGAGATATAAATGAAGTGGTATTAAAAACAGACCCTACTATATGAACATTTATATAGTAAGTCACTTATCTCTTCAAGAGAATAACAGTACAAAAACCTATAGTTTGCCCTTTTGCCTGGCCCTCCACATGCTCACCAAGTGATCAATATTAACCTTAACCCATTATGTCCCATGGATCCCATTTAGGGAATACCTAAAAAACTTAAATTGAGCAACAAATGTACCACTTCTGATAACTTTGAAATAAATATTTATGTTTTTTTGAGTTTTATTTTGTTGAGAAAAGTAATAGGTGAATGATTAGTGATAATATTAATATTATTAATTAATGATTATCATTATATGTTTAATGATAATAAACCATATAATAAGCTTTAGGTTATGATTTCCAACCTAATTTATGCACCTGTGTCAATTTCACTGAAATATTTGCAGAGTTGAAAACTTGGGATTTAATGGGTTAATCAGAGCTGCAGAACCCAGCAGACCCCACTACTCCCAGATTCTGTGCAACAGAGGACCCTCACACACCCTCCATAACTAAATGCAACTGGCATAATTAAGTCCAAGCAAGTTCAAATACTGAGATCTAGCTAGAAAAAGTAGCAGCAAAGACAAAATAGGCTGGAATTCATTAGAAAAGCAAGAGGAAGATTTTTAAAAATACTTCCAGTTTGAGTCAGAATTGAGGTGACCAGTAGCTGGTGGTTGCATCAACTCGGCAGAGCTGTGGATGTCTTGCTGTTGTTCTTTGAAAATGGAACCTATAATAAGCATGTTTATTTGAAGAAACTTAACCTGTCTGTCAAGTTTTTGTAGCCATTCCCAATTACTTTAAACTCTGTATACATTTTACAAAGGCAGAGAACAGGTCTCTTTCATAGCTGATGCATCTCCAAAAAATTTTTCATGAAGGTGGCCAAGGTTTCAACATCTTCAGTGGTGACAGCATTATACAGAGAGACCCGAATGCCTCCCACAGACCTAGAATGACCAAAACAGATTCAATCATTAAGAATCAGAGTATCAGCTGGGTGCAATGGTGCACTCCTGTAATCAGCATCTCAGGAGGCTGAGGGAGAAGGAACACGAGTTCAAAGCCAGCCTCAGTAACTTAGCAAAGCCCTGTCTCAAATAAATAAAAAGGGATGGGGATGTGGCTCAGTGATAAAGCACACTTGGGTACCAAAAAAAAAAAAAAAAGAAGAAGAAAAAGAAGAAGAAGTAGAGGCCGGGGGTTTCAATGGCAGAAAACTTGCCCAGCAAGAAAGAAGGCCTGGATTCTATCCAACACACACACACACACCTAACTTAGTATCAACACAACTCTGCCTAATCATCACTCCTGAGAGCTACAGCACTGGAGGCCAACAGTGCCCAATCTCCCACCTGAAAACCCCCAACAGGTGGCATTGAGCTTCCATGTCTGAGTCATTAGAAAAAAAAAAATCTCCCTTATGCAGTGAAAGTGCTGCTCACACCTGGACTAATTCAAACTATTCACTCTTGATAAATACAAAAACTACATAAGGGGAAGAAAAGATCCATCGATGAAGACGGTGACTGTGGGGCTCAGTACCAGGCCATTCATGATCCTGCTGCAACAGCCAGACAGGGATGTGCGGCTCGCTGCTGCTGGTGCATTTATAATGTGTGAGGACATTTATTTTTTTATGGAGTATGTAAAATTAATCCTCTGATGTTCAGCTGGAGACGCAGCAACGTTCTAACAGTAGAAAGAGTGGTGCCAGCCTCATCAGACAGGGCGGCTGTAAGAGCGGTTAAGAGATTTTCAAAGGTAATTTTTAACAAAACCTCATAGAAGCTGTGACTCCACTGGAGCCAGGGAACTGTGCCCTGGGTTCTATAGACAGGAGGAAGGAATACAACTGAGACAACTGTTTCCCCCAACCAGTTAACAAAACTGCTCCTCCAAGCTGAGCAGACTCCCAGATGTGTTTTGTTTTGCATTTGAAAAACAAAACCAAGCCAGGCTTATGGCCCATGCCTGTAATCCCAGTGACTTGGGAAGGTGAGGCAGCAGGACAACAAATTTGAAATCAGCCTCAGGAACTCAGTGAGGCCCTAAACAATTTAGGGAGACCCTATCTCAAAAATAAAAAATAAAAACAGTCGGGATATGACTCAGTGGTAAAGAAGTACCCCTGGGTCAAATCCCTAGTCCAAAAAAAAAAAAAAAGAAAGAAAAAGAAAAAAAAATCTCTGAAGCATCTGGGTTGGAGGTGTACTCACCTATGGCCTTTCAAGGAAATCATATTGAGTTCAAGTGCTTTATCGAGAAATCTTTTCTCTAAATCATTGTCTCCTTTGGCATTGCCAATGCGGAATGGAATATTCATCTTGCTTCTATTTTGGGGCTCCACTGGGCATCTGAAAAACACATTTCATATTCCAACTACTTTTCTGAAATGCACAGACTATTATTAAGAAACTTACAAGTTTTTAAAAACCATTTTCTAGATGCAAGCAGAAGATTAAAACAAAACCAAAAATCTGTCCCAGGATATTTATAATTTACCTAGACAGACCAGACTCCTGTAAGATTTGTATTTAATTTCTGTAAGCCTCAGTTTCCTCGGCTGAATATTGGGAATAATACCTCTACTGCAGATTAGTTGCAATGATCCAGAGATTCAACAGGTAGGAAGGATCCAACACATGGGTGCCATATAGCAAGTGTTCAGGACCCTTTCTCTGTTCATATGCAGAGGTATATTTGTCCTAACAGTGTTTGAAAGGCTTGAAAATAATGAGGAGCAGTTTTTAAAGGGTTTGTCACCCTGTATTGTTCTAAGCTGTGTGACCCCGACCAAGTTACCTCCCTCCTGTGCCTCACTTTCCTCCCAGAACAGTGAGAACACTATCAGAACCTTTCCTCAAGAGTTGATGTATTAAATAAACCAAGTATTAACAGAGAATTTTGAGGGAACAATTAAAAATTTTCAAAAAGATTTGGGTGCAGTGGCGCACACCTATAATTCCAGCAACTCCATAGCCTCAAACAGGAGGATTGTAACTTCAAGGCCAACCTCAGCAACTGTGAGTCCCTAAGAAACTTAGCAAAATAAGAAATAAAAAGGGCCAGAGATATAGTTCAGTGGTAAATTTGGTGCCCTGGGATTCAATCCTCAATACCAAAAAAAAAAAAAGAAAAAATGTTTTTGTTGTTTTGTTTTAACAAGGCAAGGTCAAGTTCTCTACCTTTTGATTCTGGCCTGGCCTTGTGAGTTGGTTTGGCCAAGGGACTGCAAAATAAATAATTCTGCCTCACACCAGCTTCTCTTCTCTCCATCTTCAACATCACTACCACTTACACAAGTCTGAGCTAGCAGAATGGAGGTAAGTATCCCAGCCAAGAGTCAGCACCAAGTGCCAGACAGGTGAAACCACGTTAAACCATCTGGCAGCAGCTCAATCACCAGATGCCTTCAGTTTTGAGGGCTCCTGGGACCAGCAGAAGCACCCAGCTGAGCTCGGCCCAACCTGCTGACCCAAAGAATAATGAGCACGGAAAAGGGCTAAGTTGATAAGTTCTGGAGTGTTCTGTGACACAGAGATAGGCCACTGATACACCGGGTGCAATTTAAAGCAGCATCCAGAACATATCAATGCTATATAAGTATCTGTTAAATGCAATAAAATTATCCTTTTACTCCCAGCACCCTGCCTAAGGCACACAGAGACTCTCAAAATTGAATGAGGAATTTTTGTCTGGGAAAGATTAGTATCTGACTTCAGTATCTGATTTGGAAGATAAGCAGCCAAAATTATTCTCCACTGACAACCAGAAGAGACAAATGGAAGATGAGTTGAACTGTAACTCCAGAATGAAAGAAAGGCAGAACACATGGCCCCCTCTCCCTTTTCTTACGTACATCCTATTTTATTCTTATACTTCTGTAGGCAGGATTCACTAAAATTAAACAGCAAATAAATGCAGTGGGAGAAGCCCCCTTCTGGCACAACTAAGATCCCTATTACAATTAATGGGAGTCTAGTACACACCACCAGGAAGAGAGGCAAGAAGGGGAACCAAGCAACTGCAGCAGACTCAGCTCAATTCCAAGCCCCCCTTCCAGAAGGCAGCGAGTTTCATAGCTGACATTTAAATTAAATATTCAGTGGCTACCCTCTCTTGATATTCTGCTGCCTCAGGCTCCCAATATGAGGCTCCAATCATAGAGGTGAACCAACGAAAGAGCACACTTAAGATAAAAAAATTACAAGAAATTAAGGATCTGTAATTAGAGTTCACCTCCCCAGGTTACCCATCCTATCATGAAAGTAGGAGATATCACAAAGCAATAATGTCATAAAAGCTAGAAATTAAAGTTGAAGTCGCCATGCAACAAACATTTACACAGCACCTGTGACCATGTCGCTGAAACAAGTGTGAGGGAGAAGGAAAAGATCAAGGGGAGTTAACTGATCCCAAACTAGTGAGAGATGCTCTGCAGGGAATTAACAGCTCCACTCAAGAAGGACCAAGAACCAAAGCCTGGAGACAGAACACAGCAAGTAATTCTGCTGAGAAGGCCCACAGGTTTCAGAGGGGCTGTGGGAGATGCCCAGACAGGGAGAGGAAGGCACAGAGGCAGCAGGCAAGTTCTCCAGCTTACTTGGGGTGTGGGGTTCCTGGACAAGGTAGCAGGGGAGAGCTGCAGGGCCTGGCCCATGGAGGGCCCTGTGGATTCACTCTGCTGGGAATTAGACCAGGTCCTTGAGCAATGAACAAGAAGTTTGCACAATGGATCTGAGTTTGAGAAAAAAAAAGAACTGGCAGAGACTGAGGGTGAAGAAACCGGGAGACTGAGAGACCTGCTGGAAAGCGCTTACCAAGAACTTTCTAGGTCAAAAGAAACAGGGCCTGTCCCAAGCCCAGCCCTGGGGAGCCTCAAGCCATCGTAATTTAGGGAATGCTGCATTAAGTGGCCTGGCTTTTTACTGACTTCCTGGGCTTCCTGTGGCATGAATCCCCAGGAGGAGGTCATGAAGGGACAGTTTCTCCCAAACGCATCTTCTGAAAACCCTTTCCACAGAGGGGAAGGGGATTAGCATTCCAGAGAGCCCCCGCACCCCCAAAACACCCCAAGTACTCCCCAGGGTATTGGAGGAGGGGTACGTGTGAGGGAAGGGGAAGCTTCAACAAGAGGTACTTGTCTCACAGATGTGGTGAGGGTCAGGGGTACCAGAATGTTAGGTCAGTGGACAAGGGGTTGACCCACTTATTTCAGTCTGTCCCCTCCAAAAGATGTGTCAGAAATGAACAGGTAAACCATAGAGAGTACAATACACGAGAGAAAAGCCCATAAAATAGTCATACATCTCCATGGTTTAAAACCTTACAGTCTCCACTTGCACAAATCAGAACTATCTGCCTCACACCACACTAGTAAATTCTAATTAGTCAGAGAGGTCTGAGCTGGATGTTCACATATGAATAGACGACCAGTGTAGCTCTACATCATGTCCAACCACAAGAATGGGAAGTTATACTCCATGCATGTATGATATGTCAAAATATACTCTATTGTCATGAATATCTAAAAAGGAAAGAAAATTTTTTAAATATATTTTTTAAAAAAAGGTTCAAGCTGGATGTAATCATGTATGCTTGTAATCTCAGCAACTCAGGAGGCTGAGATAAGAGGGTGGCTGGTTAATTAATTTTAAAAAATCAATTTTAAAACTATATGTGAATAAATAAATTTTTTAAAAAACTACTCTATGTGATTACAAAAATCTGAGTAAAATTATGAAGATCTACCATCTCTTCCCAGAGGTGGCTATCAACAATAAGCTGGTGTGTGCTTCTCCGAGCATTTTTAGATATATAAACATGAACATGTGTCAAAATAGGTAAATGTATGCACATGTGTAAATGTATATACTTATGTAACATCTGCATATACAAATGTGGGTTTCATAAACAGACTAACAGCCACATCTTTTTCTACACTTTTCTCCCTTTGGCCCGTTGACATACACAGTCGTCTTCCAGTGTCTGCTCAGACACCCTCACTCCCAGTGTACACATTATTCTTACTGTCTTAGTCAGCTTTTTTGCTGCTGTGACCAAAATATCTGACAAGATCAATTTTAGAGGAGGAAAAGTTCATTTGGCACTCATAGTTTCAGAGGTCTCAGTCCACAGACTGACTCCATTGTTCCAGGCCCAAGGTGAGGCAGAACATCAAGACAGAAGAGGGGGGGCACAGGAAAGTAGCTCAGGACATGACAGGAAGCAGAGAGGTTCTGCTCACCAGGAACAAAATGTATTTCCCAAAGGCAGCCTTAGTGACACATCTCATTCAGCTACACCCTGCCTGCCGACAGTTACCGCTCAGGTAATGCCTACGGGGATTAATGCACTGATTAGGTTAAGGCTCTGACAACTCAATCATTTCACCTCTCAACTTTTTGCACTGTCTCACACATGAGCTTTTGGGGGACACTTCATATCTAAACCATAACACTTACTATGCATGGATCCTACTAAACTTCCTCGAATGCCGACTGACAGGCATGGTGGCGGTGCTCTGCAGATTTTTCACCATCCCATCCTATAGTGGACCCACAGCGGCTCAATTCTGTGCACATGGCTGCATCCAACAGGATTCCGGAGTAGGGTGGCTGCTAGACATAATATCTCTGGCAAGTTTGCTTTGAATTTTGATGGATATTGCAAACTTTGTCCCAGGTTTATTCAGATTAATACTTCCATCCAACTGTGGTCCTTTGCCAGCACCAAAGGTTATCAATTACTTTTTAATCTCTACCAATCAAAAGTAAAAAAATACACCTCATGATTTTAATCTGCACTTCCTAAAGAACTAATGAACTTGGGCATTTTGGGTGTGTGTTAGCCAGCTGTATTTCTTCTGGATTGTTTAAACCAGTAGCAATACCCTTTGCCCTAATTTGTACTTGGTCATCCTTTTCAGTCATTTGTGGGTTCTTGCCTATATTAAGGATGGCAACCTTTCTGTTATATAGTGCAAAACTTTTCTCATGTCTGACATTTGTTTTTGTTCACTATGTAAAATTTTAAGACTTTTGTGAAATTAAATGTCAGTTTTTACTTTATTGCTTTTGAGATTAATAGTTTGTTTTTAGTTAAGGCCTCTGTATTCCTAAACTTAAAAAAGACTCACCAACATTTTTTTTTCTTGGTATTAGAGATTGAACCCAGGAACCTAGGGGCACTTCATCCCTGAGCTCCATCCTCATGTCCTTTCATTTTTTAATCTTGAGACAGGGTCTCACCAAGTTGCTGAGGCTGGCCTCAAACTTGTGATCCTCCTGCCTCAGTCTCCGAAGTCACTGGGATTACAGGTGTGCATAATTGCAACCAGCTTAGAACTTTCTGACTAATTAGATTTATTTTTGAGTATAGCATGATGCAAATAATGCTAATTTGTTTAAATTAATTTGTCAGGCTTCAAACAGCATGTTATGAATATTTTTCAGCTAATTTAACATGCAGTTGACTCCCAAGTAAACATGGGCATTTATGAGCTTCTTTTTTGGGGGGTGGATGGGGTTCTGGGGATTGAACTCAGGGGCACTCTACAACTGAGCTACATTCCCAGCCCTATTTTGTATCTTATTTAGAGACAGGGTCTCACTGAGATGCTTTTTGCTGAGCTGGCTTTGAACTCCCAATCCTCCTGTCTCAGCCTCCCGAGCCACAGGGATTACAGGCATGCACTACTGTGCCCAGCTATTTATGAACTTCTTTAACTCACCTATTGTCTATCCCTGTGCCAGTGCCCCTATGTAAATTAACAAGGCTTTATATAACTATAATAGATAATGTGCTAAGTTCATCCTGTACTATTTTCTATTTTTAAAGTTTTTAAGCCATCCTTTTGCTTTAACTTGAACAGGTGGACATTTGGATTGATTTCTAAATATTTTCTTTCTTTATTTATTTATTTATTGGTACCAGGATTGGACCCAGGAGTGCTTAAACAATAAGCTACATCCAGAGCCCTTTTATTATTTTTTATTTTGAGACAGAGTCTCACTAAGTTGCTTAGGGCCTCACTAAGTTGCTGAGGCTAGCATTGAACTTGCAATGCTCCTGCCTCAGCCTCCTGAGCAGATGGGATTACAGGCATGCGCCACCACACGTGGTGATATTTTATAATTCTGAGTCTGTTAGGAATTCCATCTTTATTGCGTGTTTGTGGAGAATGGAATCACAACTGAGCTCTAAGTGATCACACTTCTGCAACTGATCATTTCTAAGGTTTTCTGCTGGTTCTTGCACTTTTAATATAGAAAGTCACACCATCTGCCATCTGTGATTTTTTTTTTTTTTCATTTCTTTGGTGTAGCAATTAAAGAGCCACACAGGCCCTGGTATCATAGTGCCCACCCACCTCACGTTCGTACCCAGGCTGATCCCACTTCCCAGCTGTGACTTATCCTGTCTGTGCCTCTGTCAGACGTGCTTCCTGTCTACTTCACAGGGCAGCAATGGCAATAAAGTGTGTAAAAAACCTATGTGTAAAGTGCCTGGTACTCCACCTGCTTCATTTTAGTTTAGTCTTCACTAGATCTACCACGTTTCCTTCCCTTTCCTAAGAAGGCAACCAAGGTGACCTCACATCTGGATAAGGAATCTGCCTCTTGAACATCCTTATGATGAGAGAGTTAATATCTAATGTATGTTAAGCACTGTGTGTCAGGAACGTCCAAAGTGCTTTACACATTAACAACCACAAATAGTAATATGAAGCGCCAACTCATGTGGAGGAATACTCACAAGGTGCCACTGTTTCCAGTGCTTTACGCAAATTAACCAGCACAAGAGCCCATCCTCTTAAACTACTTATTATATACTCTATATCACAGGCATAGCCATTTAATCCTCATGACAATCATAAGACACATGTGCCATTATTATACCCACTGCACAGATGAGGAAACTGAGGCTTACGACAATCAAGTCATCTGCCCAGGGTCGCGTGCCAGTAGTGGCAATATGGGGCTTCGAGGCCCAAGACACTATGCTATGCTGCCACCTGGATTCAACTCCAGGTCACCAGTGTCATGGGAGTGGTTAGGCTGTGGAATGAACTTGGGGACTTCAAGGGTTGTCTCAACTAGTCCAAGAATTCCCCATTGGGTCACTGGTAGGTTGTTGCAGTCCCCAATAAGCCACTCAGAGAGGCTTAGGAAAGGGGCTACCTTACAAGTTAGGGAGCATGAAGGGAGAGGAGGTTCATGACAAAGATAAAAGCAAGAAGCAAAGACAATAGCAAATTGCAAATCATGATCTGTCTCTCAGTATTCCAGGCCAACTTTTTTTTGTGTGTGGGTACCAGGGATTAGCAACTTATAAGGGATAAGCACTGCTATCCCCACTTCCAGGGACACTTCACCACTGAGCCACATCCCCAGCCCTATTTTGTATTTTATTTAGAGACAGGGTCTCACTGAGTTGCTTAGTGCCTCACTTTTGCTGAGGCTGGCTTTGAACTCTCAATCCTCCTGCCCTAGCCTCCCAAGTTGCTGGGATTACAGGCATGCACCACCTTGCCCAGCTTCAGGGCCATCTTGCCAAACTATTTCCATAGTTCAAAAGAAGAGTGAAGAGTTTCCTGAGAGCTCAGTGGCACACAGGAATAGCTAGAGAGTCTCCCGCTTTTAGTAAACAGAAGAGACAGAGCTAACACCTGCTCTGGACTCCTCAGGAAATGTCAGTCTGAGATGACATTTTTTAGGCAGGTGGTTGACAGGGTGACATTTTTATGTCTGTACTCCTCCTAAGAAATAGTGAAGCTACAGCTAATAGACTGCTCTCCACTACATAATAATCACCAAATGTTTCCACTCATTCAGGTTCTGAGCACTTTGGGGGAGTCAGGGATGGTGATTTCTTCTTCTAGGTATCTCAGGAGCCTAGAGCAAGGCTAGCCCAGGGTACTCAGGAGCCATCTGCAGGATGGATGGTGAGGTGGACAGATAAACAGGAAGATGGGCGGGTGAATAAGTGACTGGCTAGATGACTAAGTAAATGGGTGCACAGGAAGGTAGATAGATGGGTCGACAGCGGAGTGAAGAAATGGACCAAAAACATCTCAGACCTCTCCATGAGTTCCATTCAATCCCAGCATAAGCCACTGCCACCAGGAGGCCCACTGTCTGCTCCCCAATACACTGTGCTTCCTCCCTCAATGCCTTTGTGGGATCGTCCCTGCCTTCCAAGTCCCTACAAGTACTCCCACCCATTTCTCTGCCTAATTCTACTCACACTAAGGCTCCAGCTCATCCAAAAGCTCTCCCTTCCCCTCCAACCCAACAATATCACCCTGTTCCAAGTTCATGCCACATCCCTTAGCCCTTGGCCCTGAACTCTTTGGACCATTTCCTGCTAATCATGCATAGCTCCTATAAGCACTGCTATCCCCACCTCCATACAGAGGGTAGGATGGAAGCTTCCCCAAGACCAAGCCTCTGTTGCACAGAACTGCAGTATAGGCAGGAAGGTACAGTGTGCATCTCTTCCCCCAAATGGCACATGGAGCAGAACCCAAAGGCCCAGATATCCAGCCAAGCCCAATTCCCCCAGGGCTTATGGCTAGAGGCCACTGGATGCCAAGAACTCACAGATGTAGGCAACAGGCATTTCAGGGGAAAGGTGGCAGCACTATGCTGCTTTCACCCCGGCTGTCCAGAGTCCACTCCACCCCTCAACCATGGATGGGTACAGAGTCATGACAAGTCGTGGTTGAAACACACATTCCAAGTTAGAACTGAAGCATTATATTTTCTATCCCATGTGACCCATGTAATAAAGAGAGTGCAAATTTCCCAATTACTGCAGGGGCATACATATATTTTTGTTATAACAGTAAAACTCAAAGATATATGAGCATTAAAAATGAGGGTCCTAAGCCATGTGTAGTAGCAAAAGCCTATAGTCCCAGCTACTTAGGATGCTGAGATATGAAGATCACTTGAGCCCAGAAATTCAAAGCCAGCCTGGGCAACAGTGAGATGTCATGTGGGGAAAAAAAAAAAATCAAGGGTCCTAGTTTGATAACTGAGTGTCAACATAAACACTCACACACTGCACACGCCACACTAGATGACAATGATGCTGGGACACTCTCTGGGTCCCATGCTCCTCAGCACTAGGTGCCTCACATCTGCGTTTTGGTGAGAAGTCTGCTGTAGTAGGTTGGATGGTGACCCCATGACCAGGTCCTACCCCTAGAATCTGTGAATCTTAAACTATTTGGAAAAAGAGTCTTTGCAGGCATAAATAGAAGGATCTGGAGATGAGATCATCCTGAGCTACCCAGAGTGGGAGCACTAAATCCAATGACCAGTTCTTATCAGAGAGAGAGAAGAGGACCCAAGCAGAAAGGAGAAGGGCATATGAAGACAGAGGTGGAGACTGGGGTGAGGCAGCCCCACCTGGTGCCACTAGAGGCTGAAAGAGGCAAGAAATGGATTCTCCCCTGGAGTCTGTGGAGGAAGCAAAGCTCTGCTGACATCCTGACTTCAAATGTCTGGCCTCCACAATGGAAGTTCTATTATTTTAAGCTACCAGTATATGGCACTTTGTTATGGCCATCCTAAGAAACTGATACAAGACCCGTCCATTCTCTGTAGCTCACGCAGGTGCTGGTAATGGTCAAGACATGTTCATCAATCACTTTGTCAGGAAAATATTAACTAGGAGTACACCCGTGCCACAGCCAATTCTACTCCCTACAGGCCTGGGATGGGAGCATCTGTCCTATAGTAATGGAGGCAGGCAGGCGTGGGCAATTATACCAGGGGACTCCAACAGGAGGACTCAAATAAAGCTGAAAGCTTCCAGCAAGTGACACACAGAGGAAGGAGGGAGTAGAAGGGACTTATCCCAGGGGGCACACCGAGATTCTTCCCCAGGGCAATATCTTTGGAGTGAGAAAAAGCCATTACCCACTGGGACCTGGATCCCAAAACCTGGGTTTCAGCAGTGGGGTGCAGCAGGGAAGAACTCACCTTCCTGCTCACGGGTGCACACATACTCACCAGTATGTCACTGTCTTAGGGAAAGGTGATTATGGCTGTTTTTCAAAGGTATACGGTTTTAAATTCAGAAGAGGCAAAACGTGGGATAAAACACCATTGACTTACACATAAAATCCTTGAGAATTATCAATTATCTCATAGATCTTCTGAGATTTGAGGGAGCTGAGCTTCTCCATAGCTGCTGTCCCACCATTGTTCTTAATCCACTCCAGGACCAAGCCCATAACATAAATGCTAAAATGAAAATTAAAACAAAAAGCCATTAATGCAAATTGTTACCTTTCAAATAAATTGGTACCTTGAACTAAGACAATCTTAAAAACATTATTAGAAACAGAAAAGATAGCTGGGCACAGCAGTGCATGTCTATAATCTCAGCTTCTAGAGAGGCTAAGGCAGGAGGATCACAAATTTGAGACCAGCCTAGGTACCTTTTGTGAGTCCCCGTCTCAAAAAATAAAAAGGGCTGGCTCCATAGTAGAGTGCCCTTGGATTTAATTCTCAATACTGAAAAAATAAAATAAAATTAAGGAAAGAGACAAGATAAATGCAGACCACATGTAAACAAGAGGATGTCATAAGGGCCATTCAATGGATGTCACATCAGTCCCTTTCTGTCCAGCCCAGCTCTAATGCAAACTCTCCATGACACCTAGAACATACTTCCCACAACAAATCATCAGAGTCCAGCTCACCAACTTCTTCCAGGGTTAACTCTTCACTTCCTGAACTCTGATCCCAGATGCCCTTGCCTATAATACTTGTGTAGCTTACCACTCAGTCCTTATTTTATACTTCTGTGTGTCTGGGTTTTGGGCTATGCTTGAAAGGCTGGAAGTTCACACTGTTCACCTTTTCTACCTCATAGACCCAGCTCAGAGCCTTCCACCTAGCAGATGTGGTATGGCACAATGATTAAGGCCATGGCTCCCAGTTACAGTCTAGACCCCAATCCCAGTGCTGCTGTTTACACACATATTACATAGCCTCCTTGGGAATCTAAGCCTAGGCTTTCCGACCCAACATGCAAATTCCCAACAAGTCTTGCTCCCCTGGTCTCAAAGTTGGGCATGGAACCTATCCAGACCAATTAGAAACTACCCTGGGGCGTGGGAACACAGCTCAGTGGTGCAGCACTTGCCTACCATGTGTGAGGTTCAATCCCCAGCAATGTAAAAAATAAATAAATGAATAAGTAAGTGAATAGTAGGAACTTCCCTGGGATTTTCTCTCACCCAGGAGTGAGAAGAGAGGCAAAATCATGGGGTTGGTGATACTGTAAGGCATAAGGTAAGAGCCCTAAGGGATCTCACTTCTAGGAAACATTTGAAAGAAATTCAGCTGAAAAAAAATTGAAGCCAACATTCCAGCTGAGAAGCAGGAAATGGAGAGCAAACCAGGCACCTATGATCCCAGGGACTCAGAAGGCTGAGACAGGAGGAGAGGAAGTTCAAGGCGAGCCTCAGCAACTTAATGAGTCCCAGTCTCAAAATAAAAACATAAAGAGGGCTGGAGGTATGGCTCAGTGGCAAAGCACTCATGGGTTCAATCCCCAATACCACAAAAATGAAAATAAAAGAAATGGAGAGCGGATGGTATAGTGTTGATGATCTATGTTCCTGGTTCTGAGAGGCCTGGCTGCACCCCAGTCCCTCCGACAACTTGCTTGGGCCCAACCCTTTCTGAGCTAAGCATTTTAATTCCTATCCCCTGCAAGACCTGCATTTAGCCCATAGCCTGGCACAGGCAGATGGGCCACCCAAATGGCAGCTAGTGGTGTCTTTGTTGTTAGGTGCCCAAGACTAAGCCAAAAACACACAGAATTGAAGACTAGTGGATGGTTCTGCCCAGCAGTCTTCCGAATGTCCCATCTTTAAAAAGGAACTGTGTCCTTCCATGTGTCCTTCACTGACTACAGGTCACTGGCAAGACACCACCCCCCTTGAGTTGGGAGTTTGGAGGAGGTCAGCTCTCAGCTATGCTGTCTCCAGAAGGGGCAGGACAAAGGTTCTCTGGGAATTAGGCAAATATTTGATGGAAGTCAATGCTCAGCAAAAACGGGTGGCACTGCCTGAGCCCAGCTGCCCCCTTATTTACTGACACCTTCAGTCTACCAACACCAGGACAGGTGCTCACAGGAGAGCCCAGGACTGGAAGATGTTCCAACAGCCAAAGGCTTAAGACAGGAAGTTCCTGATACTGACTGGCTCTAAGACTCTCAACTGGGTGGGCCAAAAACTCAAGTTATATTAGTTTTTCATCACTGTGACATAAGTTCCTGATAAGAACAACTCGGAAGAAGGAAGACTTATTGTGGCTCGTAGTTTCAGAAGTTTTAGTCCATGGTCAGCTGGACTTGCTTTGGGCCCAAGGTGAGGCAGAATATCTTGGCAAAGGGTGTCAGCCAGGAAGCACAGGGAGTAAGAAAAAGAGGAAGGAGGGAGGAAGACCCAGGGAGAAGATACAGTCCCCAAGGGCACACCCCCAGTGACCTACTTGCTCCAACCATGCCACACCTGCCTACAGTTCCCATCACTTCCCACTAGTCTCTTCAGCTAGCAATGGATTAATCCACTGAGGAGGTCAGAGCCACCATTATACCATTTTTACAGATGAGGAAAGTGAGACTGAGAGTTCTTCAGAATACCACACCACTATTAAAAAGAAAAAAAGAAGGTAGGCATTTGAGCTACCATGGGAGAGTGCCCATGGCATATTGCTGGGTGGGGGAAAGGAATTCACTTAAGTCTGAATGCATTTGAACAATTAAATATATGGCTCAGTATACAATCAGCCCTCCATATCTGTGAGTTCATCATCATGGATTCAACCAACCCTAGACAGAAAATATTTAGAAAAAAAATATTGTGTCTGGGGGCTAGGCTTGGAGCTCAGTTGGTAGAGCATTTGCCTTGCGTGTGTGAGGCACTGGATTCGATTCTCAGCATCACATAGAAACAGGTGAATAAAACAAAGATATTGTGCCTGTATACAACTTAAAAAAAAAAGAGTGGATGTTTAAAAAAAATGTCTGCACTGAACATGTACAAACCTTTTTTCTTATCATTATTTTCTGTACAACACAGTATTACAACTATTTACATAGCATTTGCATCGTACTGGGTATTCAAGTAATCCAGAGATTATTTAAAGTATGCAGGAGGATGTGCACTGGCTATATGCAAATACTACACCATTTTAGATAAGGGACAGGAACATCTGAGAATTTTGGTATCCATGGAACCAATCCCTGATGGACACTGAGGGAAGACTGGATTTGCATATGCCCAGTTAAGAATCTATCAAGATACACGACAAGCAGTTAAAGTGGTTACCCTGGTGACTTGCTCACTTGAAGTCTTTGCTAGAAGTATGTGTTACTTTCACAAATTTCTTAAAGGAATACAACCTACTGCCATGTGCCAGGGTTTTGAATAGCATTCCCCAGAAAGTCCTGTGGGAAACTCCTGTGGGAAACTCCCGGGGGAAACTCCCGAAGGTTCTGATTCTGCAGAGGAGCTTCTGGTCGAGGACACTGTGGCACAATTTTCTCCAGAACTAATGAAAGCAACCAGAGAGCACAGCACTTTTCCCAGAGCTGGTTTCACTACTAATCCAACCCGCTGTGGATTCTAGGACTCCAGGTTTCTTGCATGTCACCCAGGTAAGGGAACCTGGGGCGAGCTAAGCCCTCTGGACAGACCTACAGACTTCATCTCTACCTCCCATTCTGGTAAGAAAGGTGACCTGAGTTAATCACTTCTTCACTTCATATTTTTATTGAAATAAAAATGATTGAATTAAAAATGCATTACTTGCCCTCATACTGAAACTTGGAGGTTTAGTAGTTATGATAAGTAAAAAATGTTTTGTGGAGTTAGAAGGGACATTTAGGCATCTTTTCCTCTGCCCGCTAATTGAGTTTAATGTGTTCTACCAAGGGGTTAAAGAGAATGACACTGTGGCCCTTTATTCCACCCCAGTTCATAGCTCAGGGCTACAGAGAGCTATTTGTAGCCCAGTTTATCTAGCACAGTTAAAACAAAGTTCTCAGGGCCCGTGGTATTTCAGCTCTGACAAACACAAAAAACAAACAAAATAAATCCATGGCACATTGTCAAAGCTGGAGCCTTATCTACCTATGTGTTAGGAAATATGCTAGGTGCCTTACCGGCCTCCTAGTCAAAGACTGGGGAGAGTATCTGGCATAAATCTCTCTGTCCACGTGGAAAAGGTTTTCCCTGGGGACTTCCTCTCCTTCAATGCTGAAGCACTGCAAATGAACTCCAAGTATTTCAACCCACAGACTCATGGTTATTCCTCAATCTTGCAGAATTGTACAGAACTTTTCTCCTCTTGTCCTCTTTTAAGGTATAACAAAGCAAAGCAACCTCCAGGGGGAATATTGGAGTCAAAATTCATTTAGCCATACCAACTTGCCTTAAGACATTTTCAATTATCGCTATTTTATCTGTTTGTGAAAGAAATTTTGCCCCTTTCAGCCCTGAGAAAGGAATCCTGCCTCTCCCTAAGTGGTGTTCCTAGCCCCAGTGCACCAGCTGAGGGGTTCAAGGTCAGTCAAAGACCGAACAGGGGCTGGTAGGGGTTCACTCTTCCAGGAGGACTTTCTGTATCTCCAGCCATTTTCATCTCCCACTAGAATCTCACTGTTCTCACTAAGCCATTTTCACCCTAACAGCAAAAAAATGTGTTCAATTTTTTAAAATATGCTTCAAGGTAGCTCTTAGAAAAGGTGCCTAAGGGAGCAACTGTTCACCCTGTCCCTCCAGGCTGTGCTTTGAACAGAACTTACTGGCCTTGAAGCACATTTCAGGGACAGTACTCACTCCCTGTGCCTCCCTCCTCCTTGCTTCAAAAGGCAGTGGTGGCTTTGGCCTCCCCCTGAAAGACTAACCTAACTTCGAGGCAGGTACCCCAGCTCCACCTCCAGGTACCCTTCCAAGTAGATGACCACCTCCTCTCTCCTGCCCACAGAGCCTGACAAAGCCACTCTCTAGGATCCCTGCCCTTGAAGTCTCCCACTGGACCTGCACCACTGAGCTTGCCCAGTGTGCTCCTTGGCCAGCCAGTGATCAGTGGTGCTACCTCCCTGCCTAGAGCCCCAGTGGTAAACCAAGGGAGTAGGAGACAGAATTCAGCCCGCCCTGACACACTCGCACTTCAGCAATACTTTCAGCCAAGGTACAAGAAAGTGGAGTTTAGAGATGACCAGGAGAATTAGCCTTAGAACATCCCTGAGGAAAATGGGGGACACACAATGAGGATCTGCTCTGTATCTGGATTTCTGCAGAAATTTCCACTGGAGTTCTAACTGTGAAAAAAAAAAAAAAATCTCCTTTCTTTCTTATAGTAGACTATATGGGAGAGATTCTCCACAGGCAGCACCTAGGGGAGGAGAGAGCTTTAACAAAGTCCTAACCCAGATGGAACTACTAAATGCATAGGCCTACCCACCCCTTTAAGTTTAAGAGAACTTTGGCCCCTCATGGAAAAATCCTATAGAATGGAAGAACTGGACTCATTCTCCTAAGACAGAATCCTTTAAAAAACAAATCTACTCTGGTCATTTTGCAAAATACCAAAGTACAGGGTGGAAGGCACCCGGGCTGCCTGGGCTCAAATCCCAACACTGCCATTTCTTAGAATGTGACCTCAGCTTCCTCCCTTGCAAAATGGAAACAGTAATAGTATCTACCTCCTATGCGATTGGGAGGATTAATGGGGTCCCACACATAAAAGTACCACTGTTTTACATCATAGTTGCCTGGAAAGATAAATTAATAAACTCTGGCACTTCCCTTTTGTCACACTGCTCCTGCTGAGGCTCCAGGAACTAACAACAGAAATAAAGCAGCTTGGCCAGGCATGATGGTGCATGTCTGTAATCCCAGAGACTTGGGAGGCTGGGGCAGGAGGATCACGAGTTCAAAACCAGCTTCAGCAACAGCGAAGCACTAAGCAACTCAGTGAGACCTGTCTCTAAACAAAATACAAAAAAGGACTGGGGATATGGCCCAGTCAGTGGTTAAGCAACCCTGGGTTTAATCCCCAGTACCAAAAAAAAGAAAGAAAGCAGATGACATATATAAGTCATCAAGTATCAGGTACTTACTAAGATAGATAGATAGATAGATAGATAGATCACATAATCCTCACAGTAACCCATTGAGGATGGTATGGTTATTACTCCCAATATCAGACAGGTAGGGACTTCCTAAGGTCACACAGTTAGTAAGTAGCAGAATTTCCCAATCAAGGGTGAAATACTAGGCATCATGAAGGTTTTCACAAAAATCTGGAAGTGAAAAGACTCTAAAGCAGGGCAACCTTTCTCTCCCTGAGATACTGCAATGCAGGTTCCTACCAACTGAAGAGAAGCCAGCTACAGTTCATAAAAGGACAGGAGTTCAAGCCAGTAAGGCCTGAAGTACCAAGATCAAAAACATGGCCCAAAAATTTAAAAATGTTTTTACAAAGGGCAACAAGAAAAACTGCTCAGTAGAAGGTCAAGGGGAGACATGAACAAAGAATCCTGGTAAAATATTTGGGGCTATTAGGTCATGGCTCATAGAAGCACACTCTACTTTAAAAATTCATCCCCTCTTTAATAGGAAATAGTAAGAACTCCTCACAGGGTCCATAGCGACACAACCCAAAGTTACCTGAAACATGGAGGCGTGTTGTACAACGAGTTGTTTGCGGCCTGCACTTTGTACTCCAGGAAGGAGGGGCACTCTCTGAGGGCAAACCCCAGCAGGTCATCCCTGACGATCACCACTGTGACCCCAGCAGAGCCAACGTTCTTCTGGGCCCCAGCAAAAATCACACCAAACTTAAAAACAGAAAGGTATGCTGCTTTAGAAGCATTTGTGGTCATTTTCTATCAATTTATGCAAACTTCCCAACTTCTTTCCAAAGCATGCTTTTTTGAGGAAGTGACTCCACTCCTGTTTAGAGAGCATCCCATGGTCTGTAGGAATCACCAGGCCCAAGGCCTGGATCTCACCTGGAAGGGGCTACCCAAGTCCAGCATTGTAAAGGCCATGTCCATATTCACATTCACATTCACGGCACACCTCCATTCCACACCCAAACAGTCTTTAATCCTGGGCCTCTGGGCTGGAGATGTAGCTCAGAGGAAGAATGCATGCTTGGCATGCACAAGGTCCTGGGTTCAATCCCCAAGCACCATAAAAAAATAAAATAAAGTCTCTAAATATTCTTGGCAACCAAGAGAAGAAACACAATTTTTTTATCCCAAAAATTTATCTGTACAATGTTTAAATTTTTTTAACAATTTCAAATGGTAAAACTCTAAAATTTTTAAAATTTTCATATTTTTAAATTTTTTTTAAAAAATCCAAAAGTCCAACACTGTTCTTTGCAGACATTCTCCCCCTGGTTTCATGCACCTGGTGCAGGAGTGGCCCACTTGCAAGCAAATGTCAGTCTTCTCAATGACATCTGCCCTGGCTTCAAGGACTAGAATCCCCCTAAAGAAACCACTCTTCTTATACTGTACCTTGGAAACATCCACTGGCTTGGATAAGAAGTTTGAGGACATGTCACAAACCAGTACTGCTCCCTTGACATCAGGTATAAAATTAAACTCCACACCATGCACGGTCTCGTTTGCACAGAAATACACATAGGAGGCATCTGGGTTGAGGTTCCAGGTGCTTGGATCTGGAATTTCTATCACAGAAGACAAGTTTGAGACTTTGCACTTTTACCCTCCTTTCTAATATAGATTGGTGTTGACCAGGAGACTGACACTTCTCCCCTTTTAGTAAAATGCTGATCCCAAAACATTTCACAAGTGAAAGCACCCTGCCAACTTAGTGAGACCCGGTCTTAAATTTAAAGGCCTACAGATGTGACTCAGAGGGTTAAATCCCCAGAACCAAAAAAAAAAAAAAAAAAAAAAAAACACGGTGGATCTCTAAATAATTTTTTCTTGTCACCCAGAATCCATCTATCCTGTGTCCACTAAGAGTTCAGGAGTTTCTTCCTGAGACCCCAGCCCTCACCAGGTCTTCAGCAAATGTGGTTTCAGAACAGCTGATTCAATCTACAGCTCAAGAGCTAGAATGTGACTCAAATACAGCCACAGGGACTTGTTTAGACTGGGCACGAGACATGAGACTGTCACTGAAAATTCCCTAGCATATGAAACTTAGGGACAATATAAGGTCAGAAGCAGCTATAGTCATTGTCCCAGAAAGAGGGGACAGCTTTTCCTGGCTGTGGAGGAAATCACAGAGAAAACAAGGATACATCAGGGCCCAAAGGCATTGTTAGAACCCCTGATCAAGCCATACCTAAAGCCAAACTGGCTGTTGGACTTTTCACCTACATGAGCCTATCAGTACTCTGTTTTGCAGAAGCTACTTAGTAGTCTTCTGTTAATCAACCACCCAACCTAAATGGTATCAACTAAATGCTGACAAGGGGAAGAAAGCATTAAAATCAACTGCATATCACCCTATGCAGGGGTAAGCCACCAATCTGCACATGACTATCCAGCCCAGCTCCCAGAACTTACTTGTATAGCTCCCAAGTTTAGGATGGACAATGTTCACAGTCCCAAACTTCCTGGCTTCCTCTGCAGCCTTTGCTGACCAAGATCCAGTCACCACATAGTCGGCACACTTTCCAGCTTTTAGGCCAATCAGGTTTAAGGGGACAGCACTGAACTGGCCACACCCACCTCCTTGCAAAAAAATCACCTTGTAGTTTTCTGGAACAGCCCTGGACAGGAACACAAGTAATCGCACATAAACAGACTCACATGGTCAAAGATGGAGAATGAGTGATATTCTACCAAGTGCTTTGTCTTGGGTGGCTTTTCTATAAGAAATACAGTAAAGTCCCACTATCACTTTGTCTTGCCAATTTAGTCATTTACCCATTTGTTCATAGGACAACGACTTATTGGGACTATTGTGGAAGCCTACAGCCTACTATCTGAACAGAGGTATCTCCTCCTTTTCCTAGTAACCTGTTATTCTTAGGGAATCATCCCTCCCCCGAGCTGGCCAATGGTATTCAATTCTTAGATCTTTGCTTGAACTTTCTTTTGAGGGAAAGAATAAATTTGTGGGCACTAATCCTAAAACCACTAGGGGCCATCTGACAAAGCTAACACATATGAAAGCAGAGGCAGGAGAAGGAGAAGACCTTCCTGGTATCAACTGAGCTCCTAAATCCACTGTACTTCTCTAAGGGGGTAAATATTGCACTTTTTGCTAAAGCCAGTGAGGTAGGTTCCTGTCACTTGTGACTGAAACTCCTGAAACTTTCTATGTCAGATAGCATGCTATGAATCAGGAAGACCCTGGGGAGGGATTTTTGATTACCACTTAGACCAAGTCATGTAATCACAAACCCCATGTAGATCAAGATTAAGAACAAAAATTTTTGACTCCAGGATGGAAAATTAAGATGATAATTCTAATGGCTGCAGGCAGCAGAATACCACCAGCTTCAGGGATCCAAGGCCGGGGAAGCTGGACCCAAGCCTTAGAGCAGTCAGAGCTTAGAATAAGGGACACAAAAGGCAAGTGGCCAGGGGACAGGGCTCTAGCACACACATAAATAATAAAGAACAGGGCAACTGAGTAGGGTCTTGGGGGATAGGTGGTGTGCAATATCTTGTTCTGAACTCTGCCTGGCCTACATTCTGTAGCCAGTAAAATAGCAAAGCAGCCATGCATATCTTAGGAGACTCAGATTATTCAGATGCAAGGAAACCAGGCAGAAGTCCAAGTACAGGGGGATAGACAGGAGCTTGGTTAGGAGGTTAGGTCCATAATTAAATAGTGGTTCTAGTCAGAAGAGGCCTACAGCCATCTGGTCAATGCCAATGTCCCAGGCTAAAGTTCCAAATATTCCTTCCTTCATCATTCCATGAATGTCACAGGGGACCCAATGGGCAGACGTGGGCAAGATGGGCCAAGCAGATGATCACCAGATCCGAACACTCTCAGTGCAATGGGCCTCCACTATTCCTCACAAAATTACCTCCAAGCCTGCCCATCTAATCAGCTTCTCAAAGCACTTTAAAAAGCAAATTTATGGCTGGGCAGTGATATACTCCCAGCAACTCTGAAGGCTGAAGCAGAAAGATCACAAGTTCAAGGCCAGCTTCAGCAACTTAATAAGGCTCTAAGAAATTTAGTGAGACCTTGTCTCAAAATAAAAAAATCAAAGGGGCTGGGAATGTAGCTCAGTGGTAAAATACCCCTGGCTTCAATCCCTAGTACCAAAAGATTAAAAAAAAAAAGAAGAAGTTATGAAATAATCAGGACAGTTTAATAAAATGATGATGTCAGAACAGAACAGACCTTCAATGTTGATTATCTCTGGTGGGATTATAGATAATTTCAGTTTAATTTATAAGTTGCAGTCTATTTCTGAACTTTCTATCATAAATGTGCATTATATTTGTAAGCAGGAAAAAAAAACGTGGTTTTAGGGCTAGGGATATAGCTTGAGTAGTAGAACACATTCCCCACTAAGCAAAAAAAAAAAAAAAAAAGCCATATGTATATGCAACTGTATCTACATATTTAAAACCTTTCTTTCTCTCCTTTAAATATTATCAAGGCAGAGCAGTACCTGTAGTTAAGAACTCTTAAATTTCCCCAAATCCTCTTACAAATAGTTTCTCCAGACATTCTGACTCAGCAAATCCAGGTGAGCCTTGAACTGTTTAACATCAACCCGTAACCAGGTAATTAATTGACAGATAGCAGAAAGCTTCCACTTTAAGAATTCCTGAACTAGATTATAGTTATTTATGCTGAAAAAGGTGACCATTTCTTTCTCATTTAAGGCCTTTTCAAGCCAATTTAACTGGCACAATGCTAAAATTTCCAAGATATTTCACATCTTTGGAAATAACATATAAAATAAAAATGACACACAGATGCAGGCTGGAAAACACATAAAAAACATTATGTACTAATAGTTAATCTGGGAGGGGATTAAAAAGCTTGTTTTTAATCGTGGAATATTATGAACAAACACAAAATATAGAAAATAATATAACAGACATCCAGGTTTATGAAATACTGAACAAAAGTAATTTGGCCTTTTTTAGACTTACAACAACTCCCGCACAAGATTCTCTGCATTGTTTATAATTTTGGCGAAATCTGATGACCTGTGACTCATTTCTGTGGAAGATAAACAACAAAAATGTCTACAAAATTGGCAAGAAAAGAATAAAGAAAAATATCAGTTACTTTGCATTCAAATCGTGGGCCCATGCTCAGTGTAGGGGATAATCCAAATTTATTTTCAAGTCATGCACATTTTAGCCTTATAGTCAAAGCAAAATGATTTTTCAAGTCACATGCAATGAACAAGCCACTTAAACTCATCATTGGGTTCTCACTAGACTGTGAATACCATGTCTTTCTCACAAACAGGAATCCATGGGCAGTGGTTTCTTTTTAGGACAGAGCACAAAATTCCAGGCTGTGATTTCACTTGACAGAAATCTAAGTATATGTCTCTAAACCCACAGGAACACAAATAAGTTAACACAAATAAGCAATACAGTTAACCCTATGGTCTCTTTTTTTTCCTTTCTTTCTGCCTTTTTTTTTTTTTTTTCTTAGTTGTAGATGGACAGAATAGCTTTATTTTATTTTTTTGAGGTGCTGAGGACTGAACCCAGTGCCTCACACATGATAGGCAAGCATTCTACCACTGAGCCCCAGCCCCAGCCAACCCCCACTATGGTCTCTTCATACCATGCAGCCTTTGGAACTTTCAAAACAAAAATTTAAATAAAAGAAAATTAATTTTAGAACTCAGAGGTCCTCTTGCCCAACACCACAGGGGAGAGAAACTGAACAATAAAATTACTAATGTGTAAGATCTTCATAGAAGGCTTGTGTACTTATAAACTTTAGTAAATTTGTACTTGAAGTATAACAAAAATTCTAAATTGAATTAAAGAAATTATAAATGTTTGATGGTACTGTTATGCAAAAGTACAGGGTCTTCTGGTCACAGATTATGTTATTAGCAAAAAAATCATGAAACAGAAAGCTGAGATGTCTAAGCCTCCCACCAGCATTTATGCCATCTTCAAAATTGTTCCTAGCAAACACAGTTATTAAAGTTTAAAAATGTATCCACAAAAGTCTATTGGGAAGACCTGTAGAAATTCTAGGCTGACTGTATTTAATAAATTAACTCCCTCTGAAACCAGGACTAGAATCCAAAAGCAAATCTTACCAAGAACACTAATGCCCACTCCTTTGTAGTCTAATAATTCTTTCTGAATCTCTAACAATACCTGGAAGGAAAAAAAAAAAAAAGTGATTTCAATATGCTATACACAGCTTTCCCTCTGTATATATGAACCTGGAGAAGAAGAGGGAGTCCACACACGAGCCTGTGAGGTTCCCAGGCTTCTGTCCCAAACCACAAGCAAACCTCCTCCTCCCCATTCCCACAGAAGCTTCTCTAATACAACTTACACACAAGTTGAGCCCTGAAATGAGGCGACAAAATAGATGCTAAGCATGCGTTCCCAAAGACATGAATTTACCAATTCCCTAGAAAATGTTCCCTCCACAACCTCATTTGCCACTCCCTAAAAGTTAAATGTATAGGATGCATAAAGTTCTAGGTCCAGGAAACAAAACAAACAAACAAAAAATCAATTAGTCTCTAATTATAGAGATACAGTTAAATCAATTTTCCAGTCTTTTTTTTTTTTTTTTTAGATTAGGACAGGTAAGGTGGGAAAAAGAAAAAAAAAAAAAATGGAAGAACCTGCTATAAATTAAGATTCATCCCAAGCCCTGGGTTTGAAGGAGGTTGGGGGTGTTATCTCAATGTGCTAAAACAAGATTAGCAAAACGCTGATAGATGGGTATCTGGGAGTTCACTACATTATTCTCTCTAAACCTAAGTGAATTGAGGATTTCCATAATAAAAAATACAGAGAAAATGAAAAGCTCTAAGAAATGAACACAAAGAACAAGAGACCCTGTGTGGACTTCAAAAGATGTTAGATAAGGAAGACATTATTAAAATACAAGCTGAACTGCAACTTGTCTGAAAAAAATATTTTAATAAGAATTACACAAAGACTGCCTCAACTGTGAGGTTCAAGAAAGTGTTATTGTGTTTTGAATGGCTGAATGCTTATTAGCTAGCACTGGCTGATCAAACTACTGACTTGATCAGTACACAGAGTACACAGGTGATAAAATCTTACCCCATATATATGTACAGTTAACCAAAAAGAATAAAAACAAACTTATGTGAATCCTTTTGTTTAATAAAGAGAAACAAAATAATCCAGACTTTTTTTTTTTTTTTTTTTTTTACTTTTTTTGGTGTTGAGGACTAAACCCAGGGCCTCATTTAACAAGTGTTAGGCAAGCCTTCTACCCCTGAGCTACACCACCATCCCCAAAAACATCTTTGAATTTGCTTTAAGACTTTAAATTTTTCTTCTAGACAGCATTCCTTGAAAAATACAACTATAAAAGTTTCTAAAATCATCACAAGGAGTTTTTAAAAAGACTTCTAGCCAAACCCCCCACCCACCCACAAACACACCCCTATAATGCAGTGAGGTTTTTTCCAAACTGCAGAATGCAATAGTTTTTGTGGTTCACAACTAATTTATTTAAGGAAACAGAGCAAACTGGAGCAGAATAGAACACAAAAAGAGTGTATATCACAAGTAGACTAAATATTATTTCCTATTTTTTTTAGATTATAATTATAATTATAATTCATGTACTTCATCATCTTGTAAAACATATTTTCCACTATGGTGACAGAGGTTGAAAACTTTTCTAATCTTTACAATTCAACTAAATCAAGAAGACACCTAAGCAGCAGCACCTGCCCCACCAGGTTACAGGGTAACAGAAGGAAAAAAAAAGTCCTCTCAGGAAAAATAATTAATAAATAAGTGTATTATTTATGACAAATGCCACCATAATCAATTTCATAACAAATAACAGGGGGATACAAATACTTGGAAGACTCTAAAACACAGCTGAGCGTGAGGGGCACTACAGGAATTATTTCCATAGTTCTATCAGCGAAAATGAACAATGGTAACAGAAAAAAATGAGCCCTGGGGGCTGGAGATGCAGCTCAGAGGAAGAGCACATGCCTAGCATATGCAGGGCCAGGTTCAATCCCCAGTGCTGCAGGTGGGCTCTGTTCTCAGCTATTGTGAGCGCCCCCGAAAGAGCAAGATCTCCTTTCCCCTCTCACATTGTAAGATTCCCTGTTCTTACCACCACACAGAGAAGGCTCTGTCCCAGGGACATTTCTAGTGTTCAACAATAGATAATTGTAAAATACTTGGCTACGCTCCCATGCTGCTGCACATTATCAGGCGGCGGAAGCCTGTCAAAGGGTGCAAGGCACATCAGAGACACTGCCTTCTTCACAGCTGATGGAGCTGGGGGAGGGTGCTCGTGGGGAGGGTGGTGAGAAGAAGGGAGGGGCCAGAGCCTGGCTGGGGGCTGGGAGGGCAAGAATTGAGTTCCACTTGCATTTGCTTCGTGTGGTTGTAGCCCAGGGAAAAAAATCTAATCTACTTGTTCCAGAACAAAGTGAACAGACTGGACTAAAGCAGACCAATGCTACTAGAGTTTGAATCATTGAATGCCTAATTTAGAGGACAAGCAGGTTTTAAAAACACAACATACAGAAGAAAGAATGGGTCAGTTCTGTGGAGGACAGGAACCAGGGGGTTTTCAAATCTAATTTCTGACTACAGTATTCCCAGCGACGGCTGAACTAAATACGTTTGGGGGTGAGGGCAAGCGATCCCTCAGTTTGCAATCCCCTTCAGAAATCCTGAACCACTGCAGTATGCAAAATCTATTATCTGCTCATTCCCTTGTATCATTCACTCACAGTACCCATTCATGCATTCCATGCACACTGCCAGGGATTGCAGCACAGCCGAGATAAGAACTTTTTCTTTTCCACCGCGCCGCATTTCCCTCCTGCTCCAGTTGGGCCGGGGGAGAAGGCACAGCCACGGGATCTGCAGGAGAGCTGCACCCGGCTGGCAGTCAGAGCCAAGAGCAGCTGCAGAGACATGTCCCAAAGAGCTTCCTCTGCCAAATGCATTCTTCTAGAATCCTTCTCACAAGAGCTCCTGAACCCCGCATGCATGCAGGTTGCAAAGAGGTTGGGGGACTCGCGTTGGAAACTGGGATCTGGGCACCCAGGGCAGGGATGCAAACCCACCCAGGTGAGCGATCCTAATTCGAGCCAACTCCCAAGCACACCGCCGAGTCTTACCGAGTGCGGCAGTTTGGCGGGCCCGGGCCCGAAGTTGATTACTTGCTTCAGGGCGTCCATGGTGCAGCGACGAGAGCAGCTAGTCAGCTAAAGAGGACAGACCGCGTGGAACACCAGCGACTCTTAACAGCAGCCCTGCTAGTCTGCCGCGGGCACCAAGCCCCTGCCTTCTTCCAGCGTCAAACCGGCGCCCCATTGGCCCGCTGTCGCAAGCCCTTCGCCGATTGGTTCTCATTAGAAAGCTTGCGTCCGCATTGGTCTCATTCACCAACCCTTTATGGTTATGATTGCTCCTCGCTTTCGGTGTTTCGTCCCCCTTTTCGATCAATGCAAGGCGCACGGGAGATTGCACCAGCCGGCCGGCTTGGCTGAGCTGCCTTCTGAAGATGGTGGGCGGCGAGAAGAGGCTGGTCCTACCAAACTGTGTTCGCGCCTCTGAACCCTCCTTTGGTTCCACTACCCCAACTCCGACCCAGCCTGTCTTTCTGGGCCGGATCCGGAGAAGCGATGCAAATCAGTCGCTCTTAATCCACCCATCTCTCTTCCACTAGCCTCTGGACTAGGCTCTAATACTTTTTGTTCCAGAACCACAGCACTCATTAATTCACCAAACTTTTCTAAGCACCCTCACGACTGCCAGACTCAGTCTGGCAAGACACCCAAGATGCAAAGTCGAGAATGGCGGGAAATGCGGGGGTGGGGGATGAGTGGATAAGATTCTTTGTACCCGCACTTGGACCCCTAGTTCCTGCAAGATGAAAGGATGGAGGTGTCCCAGGACTCTGGGTGGCTTCATGCCCCCAAGCAAATCCTTTAAAGTTACTGATTCTTCTTTCCCTTTTTGTGAAAGGACGAGCTGGAGGCTGGCGTTCTCTCTCGGGTTGCGCCAACTGTGAGTTCAGAAACGTGAGAAGATAACTAATAGGAATGTCATACACAGGGGAAGCCACAGACCAAGCCAGAGGAAGGAGGCACTGAGCCAAGCCCGGCACAGAGCCAGCGCAACTCAAATTTTTCCACGTAGGTTCCCCTCTCCAAAGAACTCCAGTGGAGACTCACATGGAGATTCGCAACAGGGAGGCCCCCTTCACTGCAGAAAGGAGTTCCTTTGAAGTCCAGACTTTCATCATTTAATGTGAATTTTACATCTACTTCACAATTTAACTTAGCTTCTTTTGCTACGAAAATATTTTCCCAAGGTCTTTGAGTGAAATTTGGAGTGGCATTTTTGTAATCCCATGTAATCACAGAAATGAAATTGGAGAAAGGAGGGGCAAAGCTGGTTAAATGTGGCAGGATGTGCTATGATGACCATTAAAAATCATTAAATGATGTAGTAATATGCCATGTGAAATAAAAATAAAATAAAAACTGTTTTCCCATCACCTCATCTCTTTGCACACAGCCAAAATAACAATACCCCAACTTAAAAAAAATAAATAAAAATTTAAAATCCCACTTTCTTAGAACACAATTTCCGCTCTTTATTGTCCTAAACCAGAACATAAACAAATGCATTCAGATTTGGTCATTTAGCTTTCATTTGTAACTCAACCTATTGTGCATTGCTACTACATGCAATGAAGACAGCAGGCATGGCACCTGCCCTTCTGAAGCTTCTGGTATTTGGAATAATTTTCCACTTTAAAATTGTCTTCCAACCAATGAGGCCTGCACAAATACCCTCTATTTTATTTTATTTTATTTTTTCATGTCTTTTTATTAGTGGACTTTAATTTATTCCAATAGTTTTAGATTTATAGTAAAATTTAGATGACATCACATAATTTCCATGTGCACCTCTCACTCAGCTTCCCCCACTATTAACATCACATGTTGGTATGCTACATTTATTATGATTAACAAACCAGTATTGGTGCATTAAATCCATAGATTTCCTTAGTTTTTAATCTAATATCCTTATTCTGTCCTGGGGTCCACATCCTATTGAGTTGCCATGTCTCCTTAGTCTCTTCATGGCTGTGATGGTTTCTCATGGGTTTTTTTTTTTTTTTTTTTTTGCTTTTGTTTGTTTGAGTTTTTGTTTTGTTTTGTTTTGTTTTTGTCTCTCTTTGTACTGAAAGCTTCTTGTGTGTGAAGTAAGTCTCATCATCCTCCACCCACACATTCCATCACAATGCCTGACTGGACTTTCATGTAAAACACTTCAACACAAATACCCTCTTTAAATCACAACATTCCTCTCCACAACTGGTCCACCTGATTCCTGCTAACTTTTTCTTTTTTCCAAAGCATGAATCACCTCACATGCTATATCATTAGTCCATTTATTACAAGCATTGCCTGTCTGGTAAAATGTAAGCTCTATGAGGGTTGCACTTTTTTTCTTCTTGGCTTCCTGATATCCCAAGAACAGTGCCTAGCCAAGAGTAAACTCATGATGGAGATTTCTTGAAAGAAAGAATAAATTTATAAATAATGGACCTATTGGGATAATCACCCTAAACTAAAAAGAGGGCTATCTTGAAGTTCAAGTCTTTACCTCTAGAGACAGGAAACTATTTGCCCTTATGAATTAATCTTCCCCTTCCCCATTTGGCATAGTTTCAAGAAGATCTTCTCTTTCGTCATTCTCATAGTCTATTCTACCTCAGAACTTCTCCCTCTTTTTCTTCCCCTGCCCCCCTCCCACTATCTTTGCCACCTTACCTTCCCATTTCAACTCCAAATAGGAATCTCCATCAACTGGTAATTGGAACCCAGGGCTCACAGGCTAGGCAAGTGTGGTGCCACTGAGCTACACTCCCAGCGCACAATCAACTTTTCAAAACATGCATAAAGAGATCATGTAACTTCCCTGCTGAAAGCCCTCTAACAGCTTCCTAATGCAGTGAGAACAACCACCAAACTTCTAAAGGATCCACAAGACTATAACTGACCTGGTTCTTGGTTACCACTTAGCTCAGCCCTTAACTGTCTCTCATAACTCAGCAGTCTCTGCAATAGTACTACCTATTTAGGGATCACCCCCTCACTAGGATGTAAATTCTCTGAAGAGCTGAGATTATGTTTGTATCTTCAGCATCAAGCATATAAGAAACTTGACAGATACTTCTTGAATAAACATGTAAGACAGAAGAAAGGAAATAAATGTTTTGTTTTGGCTTTAGGGTATTTTTGCAGTGCTGGGGATGAAATCCAGGGTCTCGCGCATGCTAGGCAAGTGAACTACCAGTGTTCTACCTTCCCAGCCCTTTATTCTTCAGAATTTCCTATAGTGGACATTTAAAAATTAATAATCACGTTTTGTTTTGTTTTGGGAGGGGATGTTGTTGTTTTGTGTGTTTGTTTCGCTACTGAGAATTGAATCCAGGGTGCTACATTCCAGTCCTTTTTATTTATATGTTGATACAGGGCATCATTAAGATGCTGAGGGTCTTCTTGCTAAATTGCTCAGGTTGGCCTTGAACTTGCATCCTTCTGCCTCAGCGTCCTAAATCTCTGGGATTATAGGCATGCACCACCATGTCCAGCACATGCTTTTAAAAGTTGGATATTTTAAAAAAGTGGGATGAGGATAGGCCTAACAACCACCAAAAAACCCTGAAGATCCAGGGGCACCCATTTGCAGCCTTTGAGAGCCTGTGGCTGCCAAGGCCCTTCTTCCTTTTTTCTGCCAAGGTTACATGCTTCATCGGGCACTAACATGTTGCCCTGCCACTAGAATTCTAGGTCAGTGCTTTTACTGACAAATGATGCTACATGTGGGAGATCACCCAAAACTTTGCTTCTATTCAACTTGCATTAGTTCCAGTCACTCTTCTCTGGATTTGCACAACTATTCAAAGTTTATAGCAGACCTTGGCAAGGTGCAGACTGTGCAAGAGATGTGTTTTGTGAGGGAGAAGAGGTAATTAGAGGAACAGGGTGTAGCGTACATTTGTTTCCCAAACTCACAGTGCTGGAAGGAATCTTGGAATATCATCTAGAATCATCTACCCACACATTCTGACAGTCAACCTCTCCCAGCATTGTCCTGAGGCAGTGAGGAGGGAAAATTACCTTCCCTGAAAATCAGCACAAAGCTGTTCCCAGATGACAGGCCAAAGATTTGGAAAGAGGTTTATAGAACTGAGAAACAGAATGAAAAAAAAAATTTTAATGCTATCTATATGAACTATATACATCCCAGCATCCTTTGACTTGTATCATCCAAATGGAACTCTTTTTTTTCTAAAAATTTTTTTGTAGTTGTAGATTGACAGAATGCCTTTATTTTATTTAAATATGGTACTAAGGATCAAACCCAGTGCTTCGCACATGCTAGGCAAGCACTCTGCCACTGAGCTACAGCCCCAGCCCCCAAATGGCACTGTTAAGTAACAAAATGACTCAGTGTCCCCAAGCTGTTCCCTCACGTCTCAAATCTCTAAATGGAAATAAATTTCCTTAGGGAGTTGAAGATAATTAATGAATCCTAACCAGATGTACTGACCATGTAGAATTCAGGGGACAAAAGAAACTGCATGAATTCTAAACTCTTCAGTTTACAGATCAAAGAAAATTACCAAATGTCCCAATGAATAGTAAAGGCAAAGATATCCACTCTCTTTCAAACAATACAGGATCATTTTCACATATCAAAATACGAAGTATTTTCATTGTGTCTTGTGTGCATGCGTGTGTGCGTGAGTGTGTGTGTGTGTGTGTGTGTGTGTGTCTGTGTGTGTGTGTTGGATGTTGGGTTTTGGGAACTGAAGTGTCAAATTCAGATCACAAATCCCAGGAGCAACTCCTTCACTTTTTGAAATGGCCCAAGGATATACCTGTGAAGACTGGGTCCTTCCATCTGTGGCTTCATAGGTAAATCTTCTGTACCTTACTAGTAATACATTTTTTTCATTTCATAGAAGGGAAAGGTAAAACCCAAATCAAGGATTTTCTTTTTTTTTTTTTTTAGCAGTGCTGTGGATCAAACCCAGGGCCTCACCTCACGCCTGCTAGCTAAGTGCTCCACCACTGAGACACTTCCCCAGCCCCCAAATCGAGGATTTGTCCAGGATCACCAAGATTCTGGTCATTGAACCAAGGAAAGGACACCAAACTACTACATTTCCTTTCAAGAGAATATAATCCTCTGTGTTTTGCACACTGCCCTATTTTT